AAGAAGAGAAAAAAATATATCAAGTGTTATAAACATGGAATCATAAACGTGGATACACTTTTGATCTTTTTATACCTTCAAATTGATGAAATTGACACAGAAAACCACCAAGAGAAAAGGAAAAAAAATATAACAGAATCCCATAAACTCTGCAAACACAATCTTTTCGTTGTTTTTTTTTCTTCTTTACTTTATTTTGGTGGTTAACAAATATCGCACAACTCTTTGTATTACTTTTGGATTCACTTCGGCGAATGAAAACAGCAGCGCCGTCATATGCATATATAATTTTGTTTCGTTACTATTTTTTTTGCCTTTTTGGACACAAAATAGAATTCCAACTCAACCAACCAACAAAAATAATACTAAAAAAAAACACAACACAACAGAAGAGAGAAGAATAAACTATGAAAATAAGAACTGTATATATGTTTATCAAGCGCGATACGAATGTATGATTGCAGCAACAAAAACAACACGACTAACAATCGTATATCCACATTTGAGGCGAGATAGTACGAGTTTCATTTAAAAAAACACTGCTTTTCACAGAACTGGAGGAATAGAACATACAGAGAGTGAACGAGAGAGAGAACTAGCGATAGAACGCGCTCAAACGAAAGATAGAGAGAAAAAAAGTTAGAGAAACGCACACAATTTTCCTCTCCATAATATGAATCGTGTACAGTGAGCTACAACCACCACGATATCGTTAACAACCACCATACAAACGATGAAAACGACAACATATACACAACGAATACGGAAAATATCATGACGAATACGAACCGAACGCCATACGAAATGTACCGTAATAAATGCTTTACCAAATATAATATCGTTCGCACGATGGAGGAAATGAACGAACGAAAGAAAAAAAAAACCATACCAACAACAGCAACACAGCTTAGAGAAAATACTACGTCCAAAAGAAGGAAGAGAAAAAAGAAGTCATCACAGCACAAAAAGCTAAAGAAATGATGGTTCGAGCAGAAAAATGAAGAAGAAGAAGAAGAGGGAGAACAAAAAACAACATTCAACGCTATATATGGTAAATTTAAAGAGACTTCACACACACAAACACACACACACACATTCAAACTCTCATAATCAAACACAAACACATTGTATTACACCATCCGAAATTAGCGAATTTTTTCTCTGGCTGCGTGTGTGTATGTGTGTATGAGAGACAGAGAGCGAGTCGATGTGTATGTAAATATGTGCATGTGTACTTCTTATTCATATTAAAACATTACAATTTCCAATACAAGCACAACGTCATTTATTATTATAACTGTTATTCTAAATTGAATTTCGGACAGGGCGCAAAATGTAAAGGAATACACACATATACACAAAATATTTGGTGATTTTGTCTTATTTGATTGTTTAGCGCGAGTGTATTTGTGTGTGCATACGAAGAATGAGTGAACATTTCACTAAGGGATGATGCGAATGTCGTCGTACGAAGATTGTGTTCGTTGTTCTGTACAGTCTACCATTGCCGAAAATGTTCAGTTATTTACTGTTTTTGAACCATTTTAAATACCTTTTTTTGTTTCAATCAATTCAAATTAGAATAAAAAGAGATGGGATATGAAATGCTGTGACATCTCGAATAATTCTGTTCTTTTAAATTCAAATTTTTGTGTGTTGCGTGCGTATTCGTGATTGAACCACCCCGCCGAATACCGAATGCATGAAAATGTTTTTCGTTTTTTTTAAGTTTATACCAAATTGTTTTGAGATTATTTCAGTAAATTCTACTACCAAATGTGGAGGCGCACGAGCGCATACACAAGCTCGCATATGTGTACATGGTTGCGTGACTTTTTCCTTTGGAACAAAAAAAAAACTACACACTCGGCTTTTACAACGCGATTGTCGTGAAAAATGGTAAACGAACAGTGTGTCAGTCTCGCGAATCAAGATATGATTTTATGTAAACGCTTACATTTTGTTTCCCTTTACTCTTAACGAAGGCGGCCCATGAGATGAACGAAGATTCTTGAACGAAAAAAAAAAAAATAATGGCCCGTTTGTTAGCAAGTTGCCGAAATATCAATTGTCTGTTTTTTTTTTCATTTGCGGGGCAGTTTTCTTGCGTGTGTGTGAGTAAAGGAAATGAAATTTGGCATCGAGATCAAAATCGACTCAGTAATGACATAAACAACAGTTGTTCAATGGAAATATAAGAAAAATATAGTCACCCTATTCGGTCTTTATGCTACTCGCTCTCGCTCAGTATGTACAGAAGCACACTGAGTGTGTGTGTTGAAAACCAACCGCCGTTGAAATGCATTCTCACATTCAAACTCATATAATGTAATCGGCGAACTATGTCGGACTTGTTTTTCCAAACAGAGGGTGAAATTTTATTCGGCACAACACAACGCGTACGGCACACTCTCTGGCACGACAACATTATCAAAACGACAGAAGCGACAGCAACACGACCAAATGGAAATAGAATACAACATGTTTAAAAGGATGCATACGCCAATGATACACATATCGTACACGTCGAACGTGTTCACTTTACTCAAGTAATACACATCGTTGTGTTTGTGTATTTTATATACATGCACACATTATGATATATATATGTATTCATAAGCAAAATGGGAAAAATGTTGATTTACACACATTTTATTGCATCGCAAGGCATTTTAATTGTATCCCAAAAATGAATCGAATTGGTGTATATGAATAATGATCTGGCATAATTTACCACCAAGACTTTTGAATGGTCGAAACGCATAAAAAACAAAAACCCCGTCTCTAATGAATTCGATTTTGAAGAAAGAAAATCGAGAGAAAATGTGTCTCTACACAAATACTTGTTCATTGTTTTTACATTTATTTGTTGTGTATGATATACACGGTTTGGCTTTACTTGGATAGAGCGTAACGCAATCCATGGGCTATGAACTGAAATTGGATTTATTTTATTCGTTTCGTTTTTGTTTGACGCCGCACTAATTCAGAAAATGTCTTATTAGAAGATTATGTTTATGATATCATGTATGTTTGTATGCGTGGTGGCGATGGTGGGTGACACATGCTAAAATTCATTCACATTCACAAATGCACATGCATAAATACTAAAGCGCGAATAACGCACTTCATATCGACAGCGAGTCATATTATAAAATGTAACTTTTTATTCTTTCTTTCTCCCTTTAGCTCTCTCTCTGACCCATTCTCTCTATCTCACGTTTTATTTTTGTTATCTGATGTGGTCTGCGTTAGTCTGTATGCTGAATGTAGCAACTGTTATGCCAACACAAATTATTAATTAACGGTAGCTCAGTTAATACAATTTTGAATGATGTAAATGTTGTTTGGTGTAAATATATGATAATCACAATTTGAATATGATGTATATGTATATATTGGGGCACGACACACCGCAACACTCGATTCGTCTATATAGAGCAATAAACGAAATATTTTGTATTCGAAATTTACAATGTATAAAATTAAACAATTTGTCATCATCGCCAGCTTGGTGCCTATGCTCATGCTCATGTCATACAAACAATATAGATATATATTTGATAGACTCGTTTCATTTTGAATTTGAATGCAAATTAATGAGAGAAACAACCTTCGTCAGAGTTCGATGATAAAAATTCGGCTGTAAAATCTGTTGCTATCTTCACATGCAAAACATTCACATCCATTTTTCGCTTTCCAGTCATTTCGAAAGTGCGTAATCAGAATTAAGATTTATTTTAAGAAGACAAAGAGAATATTCTTAAAATATTTTTGACCTCAATAGGTATGAATTCATTAAGTATATAAGTATCCTTTCATTCTGCCAGTCCAAAATATAGAAGGGCGGCTTTCGTTTATCCTGTGGGCTCTGTATGATTTTTGTGCGTGAAAAGTACTTTATTTTCTAGCATTTGCCGCCAATTTCCCACACCATTCACAATTTAAGTGAAATTTTTCTCAAACGACATCCGTCTTAAAAATAATGCGGAGCTCCAAGTCCTTTCACAAAATTCAATCATGATTTTTTCGAGTGAAAAAAAAAGAGAGATTATTATTATCTCTTTGTCTTTTGCTTAATTTAAACGGGTGCGTTTATAAAGTTTACTTTTCAATTTAATTTCTCTGTATGTATAATTCCGAGTTCTATGTTTCGTACCGTAGATAGATATATATATAGCTTCGAATTCCGGCTATTGTGTGATAACTTGCTGAGTTGACGCTTTGATATCAGTAGATATAGAAAGCAGAGTCGTCGCATACCACATCTTAACATTGGAGGAGATTGAATATCACTTTTCAATAGACACGCGATGAATTGATGAAAACAATTCCTTTTGGAGTATATATATATATATATTGAAACGGTTTGAAGAAGAAAAACGAGAAAACAAACGACGATGAACACGTCAACATGACCATATCATTTGGAATTCAGTTCATATCCAAAGGATCTATTTTGTATAAAACATGGCATACATATATAGTGTGGTTGCTTAATATGAACGTGCTGATTTTACCATTTGATAGAATAATGAAGAAAAAAAAAATACACCCCATCATACACACAGAAATATGCACACATTTAATATTACGTCCTCATTTTCTTGTGATTCGCCACAATCGGCGAGCACAGCGATAAGAAGAGATTTCATTTCGAAAGATGTCAATTCAAATAAAGTTCAGTCAATGAACGAAAAATGCCATTATCAAATACCATTAAAACGGACAACATCAAACAAAACATTCGCAAATTGCTTTTATCCACGAAGCAATTTTGCTTGGCAAAAATCGTTGAATTTACAAATATCGGTGTGTCAATTAAATTAATTTAATAGGTCTCCGATTAAATGGACAATTTTCAATTGACTACGAAACAAATTTGTTATTATAATCACTCAAACAAAACCATTAAAAAAAATCTACATTCACTCAACTTATTAACTAAAATTTAAAAAAAAAATTGATTCTATGGAAAACTTTTCCACTGAAACACGTACATCTATATTGTTAATTTCTCTTGTATCAAAACAATCGGAATGAAAGCGGTTAATATTGTTTAGTTTACTCCTCTGCCTTTCAAATCATCTTTTTTTCTGGTCTTTCTTTCCGTAATTCCGTATAGCGTCGATGAAATTTTCCACGATATTTTCTTATTTAGCGTAAAATCCGCGTCATTTTCCCAAATAACGCTGTCTAAACACGAATCAGTTATTTTTTTATTCTTCTTTTTTTAATGTATTCAATTATTAGATTTATCGTTTCAAAGACGTCGAATAAAAATAAGCCACAAACGAATAAAATTATAATAACAATCAAACACCGACGACTACGGACGTTTTTTTTTTTTTTTTTTAAAAAACAAAACAAATCGCGTTTTGACTATGAAAGCACTACCGAATGCACGGTGTACAATCCGTTTGTTATCTTTATGTTGTATTCTTTTCTATTCTACCCTACACCATACATTTCATTCTTCGTTCCACCACCACCATCATTATCATCACCGCCGCAACCATCGACATCAAGCAAACACGCTTGTCACCACCGATTCGAATCCATTTTCTTCATCCACTTTTTCTATATATATATATATAATTCTCATAACATTTTCATTGTTTTCAACCATCGCTGTGATGTCGCCACTGCGCAACCACTATTTACAATCTATACCGTTATAAGTGGAAAATATGAAAAGATTTACATGATTTTAATGAATGTTGAGGGAAATTGCAGATTTTTTACATAATATTTTTGATTTTCCATTTTGAATTATTTATTTGTGGCTGTTAATTATCGAAATCGGTGAAGAAAATACAGAGAAAATTGATACATTTTGTATTGAAAAAGCCGGCTTTAACGACCAAACGAAAATTTTCCAACGCAAAAATGTGAAGTAAGTTTTTCACAAGACAAAAAGAATTCTAATTGTTTCGATTGCATCCACATTGCTATTATTCATCGTAATCCAATCGAATTCTAATTGGATAAAATTCAAACAGAGGAAAATTATCACTCAAAGTACCATAAATGGTGGTGTCATCAAAAAATCGCATGTTTTTTCATGAAATTAAATATTATTCAGTTTAAATTGAAAACAATCGAATAAAATCTTTTATGAAAAAATTCAAAAAAATTCCAATGAAAAATGAAACCATGTGAAAAGACTGTAATTTGTCAATTAAATAAAGTATATTATAAGTTAACCATGTATCGAATGATTTAACTTAAATATATGTGTAAAATGTGTATTTAAATTGAAGTATTTGTAATGTATATTGTGAAATACAGATGGACTAAAGCAATGTGTCTGAAGTACATTTGATGGAAGTGTTGCATGTGAACCGTTTGACCGATATTTTCTTAAGTACGGCGAATACGTGAAGCAAACGAATGAAAGCAAGAACAAACTATAAATTAAAAACGGCAAAATATGACAATAAAGTCTTGTGCATTTTTCATTATTCAATCATTTTAATATTGTCGATTTTTTTTTGTTATTGAATACTGTTGGTGAATTGTATTTAAATTGAATTCGCCACCTTATCGATGAAGAGAATGTGTGTGTTTACACCAAAATGAGAGAGAGAGACATAGTTTGGAAGAGAAACATTTGCACGGGCGCATTGTATTTCTAATGCTTGACACAAATACATATGAATACCAACACATGCGCTACTCAGCAACGTAAACAGTCGAACATGACCGAAGTAGACCAGAACAGCGCGCATTGGCACATCGTGTATGTGTGCATGTGTCGATGTTTGGCAACGAAGAATGAAAGAGAGAAAGAGCGAGAGCAGCAGCAGCAGCAGCAGCAGCATCAAACGGTGGAAACACAAAGAAAAATGAACGAATAGCGGCGACAACGTTGTCACCGTGAATCTTTTATTATGGTCTCTATGCGAATGTTGGTTTCATTGTATTGGTGAATCATTTGAATTCGCTTCATTCTAAACTAAAGTACATGCTTGCGAGAGCCATTTTTCAAGCAAGTTGTATTTTTTTTCATCAACTAAACACACATTCACATCAGTTGCGTCGTCAATATCGGAAACCATATTGGTGGCTCTCTTGCTTGTTCAGTTTTCTTTTCAATTTATTCAGTTCATCTTAAAATACATCGATTTAATAATAATAATAGAAAATTTGAAAGAAAAACACCAAACATCATTTCATTCAATCACACGAAACGAAATTTCAATTTCATAATTCCAATCAACATTTCCGAAATTGAATACGATAACTAAGAAGAAGAAGACGAAATATATATATATATATACATATAATTCGTGAAAGCCCCCATTTCGAAAAAAAAAATTACATTTTAGAAACGAGAAGAAAAAAAAACTAATATTGTTTTTTTTTCGTGTCCAACAAAATAATTACATATAATAAAAAATTTGTTGGCTCATATGGGAACGAACGAAATCGTTTTTCTTTTGCAATTTTCCATTTGAATTGCAAATCGACATAAATTGAAAGGAAACTTTGACGAAAAAGCAAGACAGAGATACAAAATACGCGAAAGACAAACGGAACGAAACGGAAAGAAGAAAAAAAGTACCCAGAAGGCAAATCACACATCGAACGAGCTAAGCAACGTAGAGCACACAAGAGCAACAGAAAAAAAAAACGCGAGTGATTCAAAGTGAAGTAAAAATTCGAACGAGTGGCAAGTGTTAGATACACGATCCAAAATCAATGATGTTTCCCAATGGCTACGGACATCCATTGTAAGTGAAATTTACACATTTTCATTAAACTTCTTCTTGCCTCTCACATTTCATTTTTTTTTTTTTATCCTTACCAACAATCAATAAAAATTATGTTGACATTGCATTTGCTGAATTAATTTGATATGCATGGGTTTCTGTCGGTGCCCAAAAAAATTATTATTATTATTGTTGTTATTCTTGTTTCACTGTGACCGAAATACATTCGATAAAAAAAATGGAGAGAATTCTTTGTGCTTCAATTGAAGAAACATTTTATGACAATGCTTTTATTATGAGTGTATTCGGCAAAAGAAAAGAAAAAAAAAACAAATCTATAAATTTTCTTTCCTCATTCACAGTCAATTTGCAGTGATAATAAAAAAAAACAGTTTCGTCATTATGTTATATACCAAACGATATATGAATTATTATTTTCTTTTCTGTCTATTCCGCCATGACCAAATGCGCTCATACAATTTGAACTTGTGTCAAACGCATAACATTCAAGTCGCCTTTGTAGCCGATGCTCACCTCTTTTTTTTTGTCGCGAAAATGAAATTCGCATTGCATTTTTGTTTCACTTCTAATTCTCAGCTGCCATTTTGAAGCGAACGAATTTGAAAATAAATACAACTTGTTTTTTTCTTTCTGCATTTAATTTTATTGCGGTTGCATGAATGCATTGAATGTTTGAAAAACCATAACCAGAAAATGGGTGAACGCAATAGAGAGAGACAGACTTCAGCTGTGTGCATGTATGCGAATTGAATGTGAACTATTGTAGTTTTACACTGCTATTGATATATAGTTTTATGTTCGATTCAATGTACAACAGTGGAGTATGTGTACAGTTAGACAACGACGTTTGTTTCAACACGATACATGCAATGCTTATCAATACACTGAAGAAATGAAAATGAGCGGGCGCGAGAGAATGGGTGAAAGACAGACAGAGAGAGCGAGAGAGAGAGAAAGAGAAAGAGAGAGAAAAAAAGATAGACACTGTGAAACGGTGATGGTGTTTGAGTGTCAACATGTATATCGTTCTAAATTGGTCTCCTGAGTTTTCAATAAATGATCTACTTCTAACCAATGAAGATGAAAGAAAAAAAAAATCACAGAAAGAGACAGAGAAGAAAGTCAATTCGATATGCTGGCGGATGAACGAACGAGTTTAACTCAAGTAAACTGTTGTTTCAGACAACGATCGAAACGCGTTCGCGACAACCGTTTATCGATATGCGTACAGAGATAACAATATTTTACACGACTCCCATTAAAATTTATTGTCAAACCTGCATAAATATTTATTTCATTTATATGATAAAAACGCTGTTTGCGAACAAAAGCAACAACAACAACAAATTCTCATTTTTTCACCATTGATTCCTGTTAATTCAGCAAATAAAATGTCTGTATTTGTTTTTTTGGTTAAATAATGGCTACATTCTAAATATATTCAAATGCAATCGAGCAAAAAAAAAAAAACAGAGAAATGGCTTATTATATAAATATTTTTGTAAATTTATTTTTGCAGTGGCTTTCGACCACAGCGCAATGAAGGTCAAGATCAATTCGGCGGACCTCGTGTCTACCATCAAAATCATCAGTATCAGTATCCTGATTTTGGTCAATCAAATCGCTATGATCAACGACAAGTAAGAGAATATCGTCCAGGTGCGCCACGCAATAACGCAGTCAACGGATCTGCCACTTATATCAACTCGAATAAAGCACCATACAACAACAACAACAACAATGGAACAACCGGACCACGATACAACAACTATGCAACCAAATTTGAAAACGTAAGATTTCTATTCGTTTCCCTCATTTCTCATGCAATCAAAATGCAAACACAAAAAAAAACCAGATTATTAATAAAATTCCATTTATGTGTCTGTTTTCGTTTCAATTTTCTTGTGACAAAAAAAAATGATGCAAAATAAAAATGAAATAAAAAAAAATGTAGGCAAATCTGTCAAAAGAAGAACGTGCCCGATTGCAAAGCGAAAAAGCCAAGAATCCCGGCAAAGCATTGCGTATTCCAACTTGGGAAAAATTGGAACCATTCGAAAAGAATTTCTATGTTGTGCACGCAAATAATGCAACACGTTCACAAGAAGAAGTCGATTCATTTCGTGATACATTACAAATCACGGTATCTGGCAATGGATGTCCATCACCAATTCAATCGTTTGAAGAGACCAATTTCCCTGAATCGGTTATGAAAGAGATGCAACGGCAAGCATTCACACAACCGACCGCAATTCAATCACAAGGTTGGCCAATTGCGCTCAGCGGTCGTGATTTAGTTGGTATCGCTCAAACTGGCAGTGGTAAAACATTGGCTTATATGTTGCCGGCTATTGTGCATATTCAACATCAAAAACGTTTACAACGTGGCGATGGGCCAGTTGTTTTAGTGCTTGCACCAACCAGAGAATTGGCACAACAAATTCAAACGGTTACAAGTGAATTTGGACAACAAACCAGTCCATTGGTTCGTAATACATGCATTTTTGGCGGTTCACCAAAAGGACCGCAAGCACGTGACTTGGATCGTGGTGTTGAGGTTGTAATTGCAACACCCGGACGTTTGATTGATTTTCTCGAACGTGGAATCACTAACTTAGCTCGTTGTACATATTTGGTACTTGATGAAGCTGATCGTATGCTTGACATGGGCTTCGAGCCACAAATCCGTAAAATTATCGAACAAATTCGTCCCGATCGCCAAGTGCTCATGTGGTCAGCCACTTGGCCAAAAGAGGTAACAATTTTATTTTTATTTTTTTTACATCAATCGAATAGTATTTTCACAATTCTGTGTTCATAATAGGTTCAAGCGTTGGCCGAAGATTTCCTCGGTGATTACATCATGATTCGCGTCGGTTCATTGAGTTTGGCTGCAAATCATAATATTCGTCAAATTGTACAAATTTGCCAAGAAGAAGAGAAAGAGAATCGCATTATTAAGCTTTTGAAAGATGTTGCTGCCGATCGCAACAATAAAATTATTGTATTCGTTGAAACAAAAAAGAAGGTTGAAGACGTTCTGAAATTGATTCGTCGTGAAAATTTTGCAGCCCTCTCAATTCACGGTGATAAATCACAAATGGAACGAGATTCGGTTCTGAACGATTTCCGTTGTGGTAAATCATCGATTTTGATCGCAACCGACGTGGCAGCTAGAGGTTTGGATGTTGAAGACGTTAAATATGTTATCAATTATGATTATCCAAACTCATCCGAGGATTATATTCATCGTATTGGTCGAACTGGACGGTGTCAACAAACTGGCACAGCATACACATTTTTCACAAATAACAATGCACGTCAAGCACGTGAATTGGTTGGTGTATTGGAAGAAGCTGGCCAAAGTCCGGACACCGCATTGCTCGAACTTGCACGCATGAATGGCGGCGGCAAAAATGGATCTCGATCGCGTTACAACGTTCGTCCACATCCACAAAATCAATATGGAATGAACAAACAGGTTCGGTGCACTTTTGTTTTGTCTTTTTCAATATTCTGCATGGTTGCAATTTCTCTAAATAATAAACTTCAAAACTATTTTCGCATTTAATTCTGCAGCCACTAATGAATGGAATGTATAATGGCGTCAAAAATCATCACATGGGTCAACGACCAAATTCGTGGCAACATCAACCACAACACCAACAACAGGTAACATAATCATGCCTTTTTCTGGAATTTTAGTTTTATTTCTGCATCTCACACATTTTTCTCCTTTTTCTCTCTCTCTCTCACACTCTCTCGTTTTTCATTAGCCACATCAGCGTCTAGATCGTAATGCGATTCCAAATGGTGTGCGCAAACCATACGAAAATAACTATACAAAAACCTATGAAGGCAATACATGGCGTGGTGCCCAAGATGGTAGTGGTAGTGTGGAACGTTACGGCGGCCAAAAACCGGCACCACGTTTCCAAGGTACAAATCCACAATACAATGGACACCAGAATGGACACCAAACCGAAATTGTGCAAAATGGTGCCGATGGTAAACCGGTGCGACAATCGCGACCAAACACTTATCAAAATCGTCAAAGTGGTACATTTGTGCCGCGTAACAATAATCCAGCTGCAAATGGTGCTCATCAAGGCCCATATGTTCATCAAGGTGTCGCTCCAGCCGCAAATGGCTATCAAGGAAACCGCGGCAAGCCCGAAGTATGTATTTCAATCAATGGATGTCATTTTATTTCTATTTCGAATGTAAATTTTTAATTTTCAACGAAATTATTTTGCACAGGGTTTCTATCAAAATCGCAATCCAAATAATCGATACCAAGGCGGTCCAGCTGGTGGAATTCAAACCGGCAACTATCATCATCGCAATCCATATTCACAGCAGCCAAATGCAAATGGCGTGAATCCAAACAGTGTTATTGTTGATGGTAGTGCAGCATTAAATGGTGACGCATCACCAAATCCAATCAACATCGTCGATCCATATAATGGAAACGCTGAAGATTTACAATCACAACAACCACCGGTATGTAATCGATTTCATTTAATCTCATTCACTAGACATTTTTGTACTGATGCAATTTTTCTTTTCGTTTCTGTCAAAATGTTCGAATACATTTTCAATAGCAGCCAGCAGCTACTCAACAACCGGCACCAGCTCAGGCATACAATTCGACCGCATATCCAGCAGCACCATCACCAAATGCTCTGTATTCTGGCCAATACATGGTTGACGCTGGCGTTCAAAACATCATCGGTATGTGTTAACGGACAAATTAGTCGCATTTCTTTTTTTTCGTTGTTGTTCGTTATGTTTCAGACGAATTGAAACAAGGGGATTTATTAGAAATCCCTGGGGGAAGAAGTAATTCGAAACAGAAAAAAAAAAATGTGTCAGCTTCGACACTTAAGAGTCATCTGATTCTCTCAAAAGTTTAACTGTATAGAATAGCAAATGCGCTTTGAATCGCATCAATTAGGACTATTTCGTACGCTTGCGTACACATATATATTTCTTATAATTGCAATGTACCAAAATATACACATGCGAGCGCACATACACAAAATGAAAAGAGGAAATGTGATTGACCAAGTATATCGTCGAACAATACAGCGCATCTATGGTTACGGTTGGCGCGTTGACACATGAATACACATATACACATACATACACACTCACACTCACACTCACAGAAGTCATAATGTAAGAGTCTCTTTTGACAAGAGTCTTTCATTTTCTGTCTGTTACAGGGAGTCGTTTCTTCCCAAATGCACGTGGAATGGCTCACGGTCCATTACAACAACCACCGACACAATCGCAACAAACAAATTCGTGCGGTTTTCAGAGCATAACACAGCACACGCCGTCACCAATGCCATCGCTAAATGGTAACGTGCCCTCACAATCTCTCACATTTAGTCTATAATTATTAGTGTTTAAAGAACAACAACAACCAAATCCAAAGATCACACACAAACATTGTGCTCTCTCATTTTGTGATATTGAATATACATATTCTAATTGGCATGACATACTACATTAATTTTTTATCTAAAGCAATGAAAAAAAAATTGTTGTCATGCTCATTCGGCATGGCGATGTCCGTCATTTTGTTTGTTTTGAGATCCAACATACATACATACACACATATACACACACACATACACATTCAAAATTTACTTAGATGATAATGATTAATTATTATTGGGTTTTTACTGAAAATCTCTTTGGTCGTATGGGGTAGTCGCTATTTCGTTTGCTAACGACTTTTGCTAAATCTAATCACTGCTGTTTATCTCATTTTGCTTCATGTTTAAAATTCTTTCACGAACCAATTTGCAAATGATGATAAAAAAAAATATTATCCTTGGAATCGATTTTGGAAACGTGCGCCGTTTTTTTCCAAATTGAATTGATTTATGGGGGGAAATTTTTATTGATTTCCATAAAAAAAAACTAAAAATATGAAAAAATAAAACTAATCTTAACCTAATTGAATTGTCTATATGAATTTTATTGGGGTTTCAGTGCATTGTTTTTTTATATTGGTAAAATACTGGTCATCGCTTGTGTTTCGATAATAATGAATTAACATTTCTAACATTTGTTTTCTACATGATTTCAGCTCCGTATGGTCAATATCCATCAACCGCCTACTATCAATACACACCACCAACCGCTGCTGTTCAACAGTAATTCGTGCAAACGATCCCAGCAAATCTTACCAATTCCACCTACAAAATCTACACATTTATAAAGAATTCAACAGTACCAGCTGGCTTTGAATACGAAATCTACACCATCATCCCAATTCAAACTCAATTGAAAACTCTTCAAATATCTACCTTCAACAACATCAAACAAGCAGATAAGTGAAGAAAACAAATTTCAAACAAAAAAAAAAAAACTTTAATAATATATAATATTAAAAATGTATGGTAATCTTTAGAATAGAAATTTAAAATGATGCATATGAATAATTCTCTATCATATTAATTAATGGTAACTACAAATTAAAGGAATTTTCATTATTCACATTACATTGCCACAATTACAATAACAAATGACAAGAGAGCAAACAAAAAAAAAATTATTGGATCAGTCAGTGATCAGAATGAAGCTTAACACGTACATTCTGAATATAAAAACAAACAGAATATTAACAGAAATGAAATTTTTTTTTACTATTTAAGAAATTAATATGGGAAGGAATCAGAAAAAAAACAAATCTAAAACATGAAAATTCATCTGATGCAGATACGAGATATATGTAGAAAGTGATTATTGTTGCTTTCATATAAACAAGATGTGAGCTCAAGAGCAACATAGACGACGAACTTGTTCATCGTTGCCATGAAAATAAAATATTATACAATTTCTAAAAATCCACAACGTTCAATTCCATGTTTCATTGTTTCAGGCTCACAAAAAAAAAATATATATATCTATTTCAAATTGGTGAAACAAATGAAAATGGATGATTCTCATTCGAATATGAAAAGGAATTTTTTTTTTTAATTTACAAGCAAATACAAAAAACATACTAGATTTAATGAATTTAAAATGAAGAAGAGAAGAAGAAAAAAAGATCAATACACACAGACACAACTCAAAAATACCAAAAAATGCCACAAAAGTGAACTATTTTCATGCAAAAAACCAAAAAAGCATACAAAACGAGATGAAAACAAAAAAAAAAACTTAAAAATATTATATTTAATGTGAATATATCATTGAATCAAGTCAGTTTATGACTCGTACAAATTAACACATAATTCGCATTTTTTTTTTTATTTATTTTCGTTCGTTTATGTTTTTTTGTTTTTTTAATTAAACACGAAAAAAAATGTCATTTTCTCAGAAAACATGATGGAGAAAGTAATAATCGATATTCAAATATAACAATTTTTGTTTTTAGTGTTTAGTGATTTAATGAAAGAATAAAAGGGTATTGCAAATGCCATTGCATTTGTTAAACAAAAGCAACAAAACAACGATGCACAGAGACACACACACACATATAAAATGACATGAGAATTCCATTCAATTCCATTGATTCAATATTTGAATGGAACATTATTCAATCGAATTAACGCGATAACGAGAGAACTTTTAAAGACTCACTGAAAATGCAATTTCTTTTTATATTTTTATCGATTCGGAATGATCTCTCTTCAGCACGACCGTAAAAGTGATTAAAGTTTTGATACGAAGAATACTAAATAATTGAATGAATTATAGACATATTTAACGAGACAAAAAAAAAAAAACACACACACGCGAGGAGAAACCATTTTTGTTGTTCTAATTCTAATTTATAAACAAAAAAGAAAGAAAATTGGTAGATTTAATAGGCGAATAAATTTTGCAGGAAATTATTTAAACAAAATGAACGAAGAAGAAAAAAAGAATTACGTTAAACAATAGCATTTCGATAAAAATTAATTAATTCGCTGACTCGCGTCCATGCCAACGCATATGCGGGTAAGAGATAAATACAAAGATGAACATTTAAAAAAAAATCTCTGTAAAGTTTATTTAAAATTTGAATCAAATCGAATTTTTTTCTTATAAATAGCTTTATATTGATTATGTAATTGTTATACCAAAATCTAAAAGAAAACGGTCTGAAATGATAGGAAATCAATGAAGAAAGGGAAAAAAAATGTTTTACAAAAATTTATTGTGTTCTCGATCGTTGAACCACACATGTTACGCGACCGATACATTTATACAATACAATGGTGTTCAACTCGAAAAAAAATAACAAAACTTTTTTCAAGCGCGCGCGTTGAATGAATTCTCATATAAATACACGAATAATTTCTTCTTAAATTGAAAACAAATTAATTCTGATTTTTGTTTTCGTTCACAAACAAAGAACGAAAGAATTAAACAAAAATGCTAAAAAAACAAAAACTATTTTCTCTTTTTTATATACGAATGAAAGTGAGATAGAAAAGAAAAATTATAGGGATATATGAAGATAAAATGAAATTTATTTTAAATAATGATTATGAAAAAAACACAACTGTATTAAGTAATTTTGAAATGCACTGTATGGGGGATTTCTTTATAGAACGATAACAAAATGATGAAGAAAAAAAAACACACAAATGACGGAAACTATAAAAAAAACACACACACGTACATTTCATTGAGTCATTGAGTTTATATCAGAACATACATACACATACTCTCATTCCAATAAAAAGAAGAAGAAAAATTCCCATGCGCATACGTGAATAAAAACGGAGTGAGCCAATGGACGTTTCTTCACTTCGAATTTGTTTGTTGTGTTCATTTCGACACAATTTCATGAATACATAGAATGTTATTTAACACAAAAAACTACTTTTTTTTAAAACACTCACTAGTTTTCTTTCATTAATTTAAACGATTTTTTATGGTAAAAAAAATGTAATAAATGTACAGTTTAAATGAACTTGATTTTGAAGTCGCAACATTGTCCAGCACGAATAGAACAAAACAAAAGATGAATCGAGCCTATTTCGATGAATAACAAACGAAAGTAAACAAAACAAAAATGTGGAAAATGTGGAACTATATATTGGTTTTACAAGCTCTGAGGTATCATATTACCTCAAACACACATCCATGACATGTTTAGCAAGAAAAAAAGGAAATATTTTTCATTCAAATTCTGTGTACCATTTTTATTCGACTTTTTGTATCTTTTTTTTATGTTACATATCCCAAAAGAAAATGGTGGACAAAAAATATAACCATCATGATGATGTGACAAAAACCAAGCGGAATCTAAGAGAAAATGCTTTTATTTAAATGAAACAAAAAGAAAATATGGCAAATATGTGGCGTTCGCACCCGAATCCAAGCCGAAACATACCTAATTCCCCTTTTTTTTAAAAGTCAATTCTTAGTAATCGATATAATATTTTTGAGATGAGACATATTTTAAGCGGTCTCACACATTTTGAAAATGTGAGAAGAAAAAAAAAATAGAGAGAAAACACCGAATTGTGACGTGTTTTTTTCCCGTCTCTTATTTCATTTAGTTGAATCTTTTTTTCTCGACTAATTTAAATTGAATAAAACGTGCAAATAGATCCAATCGAAATGTTGTTTACACACCAAATAGCATCAATTGGCTTGACATTCAAGTCAACAAATTCAACGAGTACAAAGGATGGAAAATTGATTGACATTATTACTATATTCAAATGGTTTTTTTCCATTTCGTTGTCGTTTTAATATTTGTTCAGAATTTAAGCGCGTGTAAACCTTTAAGAATTTATATAGATCACATTCACAATGGAACTAAACTGAATAGTCAAAAGTGCAGCCAAAGAGGAACATAAAAGAACATGTGCCTTAATAATTTCTTCAGACAAATGAAAAATACATAAGAGTTATAAAATATCATATTTAAGCCGACGTTGATTGACGAATTGCTGAAAATTCGTCCAAATGCCATTTCAATTTCAAAGTTAAACATAAACCAAAACCTCTTCACACTCATTTTAGCACATGAATATTTAAAGTGATTTAAATCTTATCAATAGCAAAGCAATTAAGGTACGTTCATTGATGAATCCATATTGGTTATTATATTATTATGATTGGGTGTGCAATCGTTTTGCAAAATATTTATATTACACTGTGTGTAATGCTAATCCACACACACACACACACATACAACAAGTATTTCGACAGCACACGATAAAGAAACACGCTCCTTCCGAAAAATTGCAAAGCCGATAATTGATATAATGCGACATCAACCGGAATACACACACACACAGCAAAGTTTCATACATGGAAATGTGATATATGATTTTAAGTGTGAAAAAAAAACTAGGATTTAAATGAAAACAAATTACGAAAACACAAAATCAAAATGAAAAATGTGTGCTTTCATTCGGTTGAGAAAAAAATGGTTGTTGATTATTTTTCATACCAGAAATTTTGTACAGTAAATGCGCACGAAATAAATAACAGTGCACACACACACTCTCTCAAACAAAATGTGAAGGAAAATCTTTATTTAATTTTGATGTTCTATCTTTGTTTGAAATTAAGGTGGACAGTTGTCTGTGTGTTATCGTCTTCTATAATACCAATTCAATCACTCAAACACACAGAGCAACCACGATTCACACAACCATTCATGCTCGATTTGAATAAAAAATTTTTAAAGAGTATGAACAATTTCATGAAAGTGGTTTTTGTGATCAATGAAGCAATTGTTTGCTACTTACAAAATTTGTACTCGAATTTAGTTGATCAAAAAAATAACACAAAAAAACATAACTAGTTTTTATCTTCGTCCGGCGACAATAAGCAAGAAGAAAAGAAGAATGCAAATTAAGGAAGAAGTGAACAAAAAACGGAAAATTATAAAAGAAATTTTTTTTGGCTGTTTTACAGAAAAATTTGCATATTTAATAAAATAACCGGCCGATTGAGATCTATATTAATTAACTGCACATTTCGAAAGTAGATTAGTTTTATGAACCAAAACAGATAAAATAAAAATATGATCGGATTCAATGCGATCGAATGACAATATACACATTTGACCCATGAAATATGTGTTCATTTTTTTTTGGTTTCGGGTGTCATTCGATCGAGTGGTGCACACATATATATACATACACAAATTTTATTCTATTTTGCACACAGAAAACAATGTCATGCGGCAAAAATGTGTTTTTTTTTTGTTCAATATTACCAATTAAATAGTTTGTTCTTTTCAAACGGTGCCAAAGACAATTTTATGTTCGTCATATCGATAATTGACGATTGTTTTGAGCGATTTTCTATTTTGTTTAAAATAAACATTTCTATATGGCGGAAACATTTCAATTTCTTTAATTTTCACCTTATTTTAGTAGCCGCAATATATATTTCCAATATTTATTTAAAGAGCGCGAGTAAATAGACGGTTCCAATTAGATTTAAAAAGAAGAAGCTAATCCAAACGAAAAACGAGCACAGAAGAGAGAAATTGATTGAAAACAATTATGTATGTGTTTCAATTTGATTCGATTGTTTTCCTCTTGTTTTTTCATTTTCAAATGCTCTCCCTTTGATGAAAGTCTTTTTTTTTTGTTTTCAACTTTGATGAAATGTTATTTCGTTCAAAATAGAGTTTGAAAATACAACACCGATTGAATTCGGTTTTTGTGAGTGTCCATTTCACAACATAACAATTAAATTTTGTTTGTTTTATTATTCTCTCTGTGATGACTGCAAGCATTCGAGTGGACATCATCTTTCTATCTCGATGCAACAGGCTATTTAATGAAAGGAAAATGGAGACGATGAAAAAGGGAAGAAATAAATGAGGAAAATAAATTATCTGTGATACACACTCTCATTGAATAAATTACTAATGATGAAAGAAATGCAAAATAA